CCTGCTTCTTTATTCTAAGATTTCCAATCAAATCCACCCAATCAGCAACAGAGTCAAAACAATACGACTGTAAACCCCACCAAGCCAGAATTTTAGCAAGAACCGACTTCGCAACCGAGCACTTGAAAAAAAAGATGATTGTTGGATTTCATTCTAGCATCGCAAATAGGACAACAAATAGAAGAAATATCCAAACCTTTTAGAGACAAACTATATTATTCTTGACATTTATTGGCATTCCAAGGTATATTTCAAGAGTGTTAAGGATACAAACACATTACCAACATCCCTAGTGGCTAATTTAATAAATAAATTATAGAGAATAATGATATTCAGGCTATTAACAATATATGTTCAAGACATGTTCTATGCATTCTAAAGATACTCTTCACATTCGGGACTCATACTTTACATATATAGACAAAATCTTAATAGATAACATATAAAACTAACATGATTCATAGAATCTATGTTGTTCTTTAGAGAAAAAAATTAAAATTTAGAGTTATAAGTTTTCTAGATTTTTCAGAATGACATTGTGATATGATATGTGGACCCTATTCATATAAGACAGCGTCACATAGATGGGCTTGACCCGTTTTCATCGGGTCTGGATTTCTCCTCTCTAGAGTAGTTGGTCATTTTTTAAAAGAAAATAAATATAGTTATTTTCATTAAAGTTAACTAAAAATATGATTATTTTAGTTAATATTCATTGATTCATATATTTAGGTTCAATGAATCACTCACTTGTGTGAAAGTTAAGTGTGATAAATTGATTAATTTGTACTGTTAGACTCGTAAGTGTGGTACAACATTTTACCATAATTTTGGTTTGCCACATCAGCGTCATATTATTTTACCCTCACCCCCCCCCCCCCCCTCCTCACACTTTTCACCCCACAAAACTTATAGAAGTGGTACAACACCTTACCATATTTTTATCATTTTTTTAATTAAATAAAATGTAATTATATAAAATTAGTAAAAGGAAACTATTTCATTAATTAAAAAAATACATACTAAAAAAGGCATAAATAAAACAATTAAAACATAGTAAAATAGCATGTCACACCTAATCATCGTCGGTCATAACGTCATCATAATCTTCATCCGAATCGTTTACAAACTTGTATGAATTGTCATATGTATTGTCGAACAAATCGCCATCTAATTTTTGAACGCGGGCTTTCGGCCTCATTTTCTTGTAGATAAGCTAGTGTTGTTAGCATAACGTTCTCGGTAAATGTCACTTCCTGCAATGTCAACATATCCGATGAAGTCGATGACGATGAAGATATTTTGGATTTGTAAATCTACGTATATATAAGTGTTTGGTTTTTGTTTTATGGTTTAAAATGTGAAGTGTGTGTTTATTTATAACAAATAAAAAGTAATAATAATAATAATAATAATAATAATTGTTTTGAAAATTTAGCCGTTAGAAAAACGGTAAATAAAACATTAAATGGAAAATGAATGCGGCAAAGGAAGCTCATGTGGTGGCCTTACCGCACCTTACCATCAAGGACGGTGTCGTGTTCAACGCACCACTCTGATGACACGCCGCCACCACATGATGCGGTACAGGTATCTAACAACATCAAGGCAAACTAGTATCATCGTGAGATTTAAACATTTCTTAAACATCTCAAATTAAAGTAGGTTTTAAATTCGAATCGTACAAGGTTCAATCCTAAAATTAGCTATCATTCAATAAAATAAAAATAAAAGCTAACCAAAAAAGTAAAAAACGAAGTTATAATAATAAATTGCTACAATAATTCGTCAAGAAAATCACATAAAAGATTAATAATTACATGTTTTTATTTTTTTTATTTAAAAAGAATTATTATCATTGTATTATAGTTTTTTATCAAGTTTTATACATTAATATTTTCTATTAATGTTATTAAAGGAAGTGATTTGTATATAATATTTTTTTATCTGTATACTACAACAATTTATGTTTTGAAAAAATACATAATATACATAAAAAGCATATATCATTGTTATTTATTTATTTATGAATACAAAATGTTCTAAACTTCTACAAACTTGAGAAAACCACACAAAAAGTTATTGACGGTAAAAAAATCTTGAAAATATTTAATTCATTCTCTATTAAAATCTATTCAAAATACAATAAGAAAAAGTTCATATACAATTGCTACAAAACATTTTCAAGGGTAAATTACACCGTTGGTCCCTCGTGCACATGCCAGAAAGCGTGTTTAATCCCTATTTCCAAAATTTAACTCGTGCAGTCCCTCGTTGTTATTTATCTTGCACGGTTAGTCCCTATGCACGTTAACTGTTAAATGCTTCCGTTTAAGCTACCCACGTGCCTTGCACGCAGGGGCATTTTCGTCTTTTCAGGGTTTGTGTACATGAACCATTATGGCGCGACTTCGATAACCGATCATTTCTCATTTCATCCTCCGTCGACCCTTAGCATTGCACAAGAAAACCCTAGTTTTCTACGATGGTGAACTGGAGGATTAGGCAAGAATGGGAGGAATACGATCTCCAAAGCTCATACGGTAAAATTTTCTACATTTTCAGTTGATCATCCATTATACGTTCCTAAAAGGTAAAAAAATTTATTTGATTTTTTATTTTTTGGGTTCGTAGCTGACAATCCATCTATGTTCTCGATACGATTGAACTATGGTGGAGTTTTTACGAAGTTTCCAGGCCGCAAATACATAAAGGGGAAGATGAAATATATTGATGGCATTGATAGTGACTTGTTCTCGGTGCATGATATGGATGAGATAATGGAATTGCTTGATTGTGTGGAACCAGGTAAAAGTATTTACTACCATTTCAAACGACCAACCTGGGGTTTAGATTTTGGGTTGTATGCTTTGGGTTGTGACGAAGATATAAACCACTTTAGGTCATACGTTTATGAACACAAGGTGATAGAAGTGTATACAGAGTTTTGGGAAACCAAGCTGCATACGTATCAAATGTCCCCAAACCCAGCAAAGATAAAGATACACGAAATTCCTGAGTCCCTTTGTCGTAAAAGGTTGTTATTGACATGGTCAAATTCAGGGGATGGTCCTAGTGAAGAAGCCCCTGTTTTTTAGAATGTAGAAACTATGGACCAACCCCCTAGTACATTACTTGAAACAACCTTGGAATAACCCCCTGTTACATTGAGTGAAACAGTTGAGTCAACCCCTGCCTATATACCAAGAATTGAAAGCCCTTTGACTGAACCAATGATGGGAAGCACATGTCCTAATGTTGATTACACAATATATGGTAACTGGAATTGAAGGTTTTTTCATAATACAAATAACAATACAAAATACACATAACAAAATACTAACAACTTCATTACTAAACCTACACTTTATATATAAGGACTGAAACAAAAAAAAACCTAGCTAATAACTAGGTAAAGCTTCAATTTGCGATTTTGTTCTTCAAGTTTCATCCTAAACGTCATACAATCGCAGTCCTGATCATAATCATTCACCCATCCTATGAACTTGCATAATGGTCCCTGAACCAATTAAAGTAGATGAAGAATTGGGGCAAAATTAGAGAAGATGAAGAACGAAATTAAAATCATTAACCTTACCTTTACTGTACAAGCATAGTAGAGTTTCCCAGGGTTTCTTTTGCTATAAGATGTGCGAATCACTACAGTGGCTCCACATTTGCATTTAATATCGATCATTGTTATCTATTTGGAAGAAATCGATCGAACGAGGGGAGGAGACGAAGGAAAGGATAGCAGAGGAAAAGAGGGTTGCAGTGTTTTATAAGATTTTAAGGTGCAACGGCATTAAGAATGGACACAAACCCTGAAAAGACGAAAATGCCCCTGCGTGCAAGGCACGTGGGTAGCTTAAACGGAAGCATTTAACAGTTAACGTGCATAGGGACTAACCGTGCAAGATAAATAACAACGAGGGACTGCACGAGTTAAATTTTGGAAATAGGGACTAAACACGCTTTCTGGCATGTGCACGACGGACCAACAGTATAATTTACCCCATTTTCAACAAGAAGCAGGTAATTTTGATGTTGGAAGCCTAATTTCACATAAGTTGTCTTGTATACATGATTTAAATACTTGTTTAAAAAAACATTTAGTAAAACGAATCATACGATATAGTAGTTTTTTTTATAAACAACACAGGCATTTCAAAGTTGGAAGGAGATGAGATTCAAATATAAGATCTCTCTATTTTGAGGAGTTTTAATCATAGATGATCAAGGTGGTATGTAACTTGGCAATTGATCATATATGTTACGATATAAAATTTTACAACGAACCAAAAATAATATAACTAATATTTTTTTATTAATACAGAATTTATATCAATCTTTGCAACTAAAAGATTATAAAGTTTGGCTAATAGAAATTAAATAATTTATTTTACATGCTATTTGAGTATTTGACTTTTATGTGGAATGTGAAAAGAACAAGTTTCAATTTCCCTCCTTTCTTTTTGCCTCTTTTCCTCCTTAAATCAAGCAGTATTTGCTCATTTCGTCCCACATCAATCTCAATTCTGATGCCTATGTTTTAAGAAAATTTCGGTTATTTTAAATAAAATATTTTTATATTAAAGTTCAAAATCCAAAAGGATATTTTTATCTTGAAAGGTGAAACGGACATAAATAAATATCTAATATTTTTATGTAATACTTGAGGCATCATTTGTAATTTTGATTTAAATTTTTTATCACTACTAGTAATCAAAAGATATTTTACATTTCAACTACCTTTTGGACCGAATTCTTTTTCAAACTAAAGTTACTTGTTTATTTATTGATTATTTTATTTTAATAACAATAATTAAATTCAAATAAACATTTAATATCATTTGTTTTCATGACCCTACAAGAGAAAGAGAGGCCCATTGCTTTGGACATTTGCAACCCATGATTTTGCATAATTGACCAAAAAATGGCTGAAGAAGTTCACAAACATTTTCAATTTTCCAACACTCCACCACTCTTCTTACTACTCGATGGACAACCACCACCACTACCACCACCCTTCTCAGCCACCGCCTCAGCTCACTTCAGCCAAGAGTTCGCGCCAACGCTACAACGAATGGTTTGTCGCTCTTTCATGTCTACTTTTGTTATTACACTTGCATGCAAATATATGATACATGAATATCAGAATACTTGAATATGAGTATTTGTATATATGGTATAAGAGGCATTGCATGTCTTTCTTTTGCAGGATATTTCGTGATGTTCCAAGCGATATAACGATAGAAGTGAATGGTGTTATGTTTGCTCTTCATAAGGTAAGTTCATGATTAATTGATTTTATTCTCATGTTCTATAAAATTGAAATCTTTTTACTACTTGTTCTAAAGAATCTTGAAGCTAGTATGGTTTGACCAAAAAGTCAACCTTCAATCCCTTGTAATTTGTGAATTTATACACAATTGCTTCATACAAGTTCTTTTTTCAGTTCCCTCTTGTTTCCAGATGCGGTCGAATCCGAAGATTAGTAGCAGAACACAGGGAAAATGCAATATCAAAGATAGAACTTGTGAGTTTACCAGGAGGAACAGAAACATTTGAGCAAGCTGCTAAATTCTGCTACGGAATCAACTTCGAGATAACATCATCCAACGTCGCTCAGCTATGTTGCGTCTCCGACTACCTAGAAATGACAGAACACTTCTCCAAACGTAACCTGGGTTCCCGTGCCAACGAATATCTCGACACTGTTGTCACCAAGAATCTTGAAATGTCTGTTGAAGTTTTGAAACAATCTGAAAACTTACTCCCTTTAGCTGATGATCTTAAAATCGTTACTAGATGCATCGATGCTATAGCTTCTAAAGCTTGCGTTGAGCAAATCGCGTCGAGTTTCTCGAGGCTAGAATACAGTAGCTCCGGCAGACTTCACATGAGTCGATTCAAGGGGGAACCCGATTGGTGGATCAAAGATTTGTCTGTTCTTCGAGTTGATTTCTATCAGAGAGTTATGAACGCGATGAAATGTCGAGGGGTGAGGCCGGAGAGTATCGGTGAATCGCTTATGAGTTATGCCGAAAAGGAGTTAACGGGTTTACACAATCAGAATAAAAAAGTCGAGGCTCGTGGTGGGTCGGGTCACGAAGGAATCGTGGTGGAAGCCATTGTCGGTTTACTTCCGGTTGAGAAACTTGCAGTGCCGTTAAGCTTTCTTTTCGGGCTGTTGCGAGCGGCGGTGATGCTTGATTGCTCGGTGGCGTGTCGGCTTGATCTCGAGAGGCGAATTGGATCACAGTTAGATTTGGCGACACTCGATGATCTTTTGATCCCGTCTTTACGCCATGGAGATGATACATTGTTCGACGTTGACGCTGTTCATAGAATTTTGGCAAATTTTTCGCAGCAAGATGATAGCGACGACGATGATATGGAAGATGACGATGGTGATGGTGATGGGTTTGAGTCAGACGGGCCGGATTCGCCTTCCCAATCGGCTCTAGTCAAAGTCTCGAGGCTAATCGACAGTTATCTCGCTGAAATCGCACCGGAGACAAACCTTAAACTCTCCAAATTTATCGCGGTGGCGGAAAGCTTACCGGCACACGCTCGTACAGTTCATGATGGTCTATATCGATCCATCGATGTTTATCTCAAAGTACGTCTTGAATTTTGACTTTTGTTGTCAAAGCTAATGCTAATACGTTTTTAACAAATCTAAAACATGCAGGCTCATCAGGGTTTATCGGAATTCGACAAAAAGAAGCTCTGTAAACTGATTGATTTCAATAAACTGTCGCCGGAAGCCGGAGCACACGCTGCACAGAACGAACGCCTTCCTCTTCCGGCAGTCGTTCAAGTCCTGTACATTGAGCAGTTAAGGCTTCGAAATGCGTTATGCTGTAATTACCCAGAGGAGAACCTGAAGCCGCCGATGCACCACCAGTCGTGGCGGATCAACAGCGGAGGTCTGAGCGCTGCCATGTCACCGAAAGATAATTATGCATCTCTGAGGCGGGAAAACCGGGAACTGAAACTGGAGTTGACTCGGTTAAGAATGAGATTGAATGATTTCGAGAAAGAACATGTGTGCATGAAGAGGAGTATGCAGAAATCGAATTCACGTAATTTCATGAGTTCTTTCTCGAAGAAAATTGGTAAATTGAATATGTTTGGACATGGTTCTTCTTCGAGGGGATCAAGTTCACCACCATCTAGGCATTCAGAAAGAACAGATTCTAAGGTCATAAGTAGGACAGATTGAACCAAGTTTTACATGTATTTTTGCTAAAAATTTAGAGTTTAACGAAAAAAAACAAAACAAAACATTGTACTCTTGTGTATTTGTTTATTATAGAATTATGTTTTCATTTTTTCTCTCACAATATTATAAGTTTCGTTACTTTTCTTATTAAGATGTTATGTTACCTTGTAAAAAATTATATGGTTGTTTCAATATTTTTCTTATTGACATATTAACTGTTAAACAAATCTAGTTAATTATAGCAATAGATGCGGTTAGTACATATATGGTAACACCATACTAGATGGTACCACCGCACCCCACTATTGTATAATTGTACTCTCTCTAATTTTTTCACCTTTGACACATTTGTACGATACAATATACATATTAGAAAATCCTATTTATTTACTAAAAAAGAATACAAAAAATGTGGGAAATAAGGACCGCCATTTCTTAAACAAATACAAAAAATGTGGGAAATAAGGACCGCCATTTCTTAAACAACTAAATATTGAAATTATATAAGGTGGAATTCAATAGAAAACCATAATTAACCAAGTAACCAATTTTTTTTCAACTTTTATAATTTATTTTTTATCAAAAAAAAAACTAAAAATACAGAAATTTATAACTTTTTATCCTTTTTCCAATGATATCAAATTCGATAAAAAAAAAATTTCGACAAATTTACAATGTGAATCTATCAAGATTCACAATGTGAATCTAAATTCAGACGGTGAATCCGAAAAATATATTTAACATTCACAATGTTAAGTTATGAATTTAGATATTTTTAGTTTTTTTTTCGATAAATAATAAGCTCTAGAACTTAAAAAAAGGATTTGGTTCCTTGGAGAACCAATAATTATGGTTCTCTATTGAACTTTTTTTTTTTTTTCTCTCTCTCTCTCTCTCTCTATATATATATATATATATATATATATATATATATATATATATATATTATATATATATATATATATATCTATATATATATCAAGGTTGTAAAAAGCTCGCCATGGCGCGCCATGACTCCAAGGCTTGCATGTGCCGCCAAGCTTACCAAAACGCCGTCTTGACTCATATATGTGTATAAAAATGAATAATAGTAAAAAATACATATAAAAATATGAATTATACACAAAATTGCCGCCTTAAGTCACGCCTTACAAACGACGTGACTCGTCAAGGCTCGGAAAATCTTGAGGCTTGACATTGTCGCCAAATCACGCCTTACGTTATTTAGAACCTTGATATATATATATATATATATATATATATATATATATATATATATATATATATATATATATATATATATATATATACTAGTTTATAACCTGTGGGAACCACGGTTATACAATTAATTAAACTTTTAAAATAAAAACTAAAAATTATTAATAAATTATTTTAAATAAATTATTAATTAAGAGATTTTTTTAGTTATATAAATTTTAATCATTGATTTAAATAAATATGTGAACTTATATCACTTTATAATTTGTATTACGTTTATTTTAATTTTTATTATAATGTTATTAATTTAATATAATTAGAGTGGAAATTTAAAATTTGAAATTTAAAATGAAGAATTAATAGGTTTACAAATGGCATGCATTAATTAGGAGATACAATGTGGTGACACAAGACAAAAGGAGAATAAAATATGTATTAATTAGGAGACCTAATAAGATGACACATATCAAATGGAGAATAAAACTATCCTTTTATTAGATAGGGATATATATATATATATATATATATATATATATTATATATATATATATATATATATATACTAGTTTATAACCCGTGGGAACCACGGGTTATAAAATTAATTAAACTTTCATAATAAAAATTTATAATTATTAATCAATTATTTAAAATAAATTATTAATTAGAAAAGAGGTATATCAAAATTTTAAAGTTATTATAACTTCAAATTTAACATATAATTAGAAAATGTAAATTTGAATTTTGAAATGAGTTGTCTAATATATCTACATGAGATATGACATAATATTAATGAAGAGTTGTATTAGAGTGACACTTGGCAAAATGAGATTAAAACTATTCATTTATTAGAATAGGGATATATATATATATATATAGGCTTAGGTTATTATGTTCAAAGTAATTATTGTGTTATTGTATACATAAATGTGGGTCAATCAATTTTACTTATTTTAAGAAAGTGATTAATGTATATTATTGAATTAAATATAATTGAAAAATATCATCTAAATTAATTACAAGGGTATTTTAGTCAATTAATATAGATTTAATAAAGGAAAATTGTGTATTTTAAGGGATCATGGATTTTATTAATTTTAAAAATCCGATTTTACGAATTATAATTCTTTTAATTCGGACATTCTGAGAGAATATGTTTATGAGTATATTCAAAAATAAAAATATTCGTGAACCAAAAATAATAAAAATATTCTTGAACCTATTTCTTGATCATGACTTTAAAAACTTCTTGTAGAATAACAATTTCTTGAACAATCAATTGAAGAATAAAAACAAAAAATACATTATTTCTTATAGAATACGGGTAACAATTGTTAAGAATTACATTTATTGTTAAAAAATAAAACTAAAAAAACTTTCAAAACGGGAAAGAAAACATGAAAATCTAAACGACACTAATACATTCTAAAAGAATAATGTTGCTTAGAATCACTTTCAATTTGTGGTTTGTTCTTCAAGCATCAACTTCTGTGAAAACAAAACCAAATTGTAGTTTAGATTCCAATAATGCATTAGCAAATGAAAAATAAAAAACTAAATTCCTTTGGAAAAATATGTGGACTTGTGAATTGCACCAAAACCAATAACCAAGAATTGTAGAACATCCATAAATCAGTGAGAAAATATCCATACTTCATTCCAACAGAATTAGAATTCATGATTCCATTCCAACAGAATTGGAATTCGTGATTCCATTCCAATAGAATTGGAATCTCACCAATATCATCCATTGAATCATCTACAGAAACAAATTGATTTTTATCATATAAGAAGAAGTAAATTTGATATGAAAATAGTGACAAACTACCTTCACTTTGTACTGGTTGACTTTCCTTATTAGGACATTCGCCCTTCCCAATGCTAGGAGGGACCAAGGCAGGAGGCTGTTTGACGAGTTCAGGGGAATCTTTCCCAAAAAAACTTGGTCCGCCATCAGAGGAGAAGACCGACGATTGGAGTGAGGATGAGGGTCGACTCCTTCGCATGGAAGAGAATCAGCCGGAGCTGCAGCATCCGACGACAAAGGAAAAAACGGTCGATCAGCGTCACCGACGGGAACACGAACCAGATTGGCCTCCATAGCCATAGAAGGAGAGTTCGAGACCTCGACAGAAAGCGGTGGTCCAACAGCAGCGCTTTTTTCATAGAATTTCCATTTTAATTCTTCAAGACTTAACCCAGTTTCAATAAAGGAGGAATCGAAGAAGGTGAAACCTGATTCCTCATCAGCGTCGACGATCTTCATAGCACCATTAGAATGCGACAATGACATTTAGGGAGTCATTTCTCTGGATCGATATCCTCTGGTGTATCGGCAATAGATGGTGGTTTTAAAAAGCCGACGATGGATGAAGAAACCTTAGGTAGCTGAAGTCAATGGTTACCATAATTATAGGATATTATTTGTGGAAACTAATTATCAAATTACCTATTTACCCTTATTTATTTATTTAATTATTTATTTTTATTTTAAATTTTGATTGGTCCACATTTATGCATATAATAACACAATAACTACTTTGAATACCTGAACCTAGCTCTCTATATATATATATATATATATATATACTAGACGAATTTCAGTGCGTTACGCAGCGCAGGTTAAAAATATATTATTAAAATATTGAAAAATATATGTTTAAAATTGTTATGTTATTAACATTAACTTTGAGATAATATTTTTACACTAGTTTCTATATATATATATATATATATATATATATATATATATATATATATATATATATAATCTCAGTTATTTTGAACAATAATATTCATTGACATCAACCCACCTTCCTCATTAATGGAATTAAATATAATTATCTATTTAGTATTATTTTAACAATTATTATGACTGATTAATTATATTTTTACTTATGCGATCATTTTCTAATTTCAATAATGATATTAATTTAAGGTACAATTTATTTGTAGCTAAATGTAATTTATAATTTGATGTTATTATCATTTAAAATTATTATTCATTAATTTTAAACTACTTATTATTAATAATAAGTTAAAGAACATTTTTAAGAAAAACTTAATACTATTATTAAAATGTGAAACATACACTAAATAATAAAATGATAAGATAGACAATTTGCATTTCAAAAGAAATATTCATGGATAATATGACATATCCATTATTTTTATAATTTAATTTTATTATTTATAATTGTTGTTCATTAATTTTAAAACCACTAATTGTTATTAATAAGTGAAAGAAACTTTTAAAAAACACTTATTATTATAATTAAAATGTTAAACATATACTAAAATATAAAGTGATAAGATAGACAATTTGTATTTTAGAAGAAACTTACATGGATAATATGTATAATATGACATATCCATGATTTTTAATTAATTATTGCTTTGAAGCAACACGAACATACAAACATGTATACAATAGTTAAATAAATATTATTTATATCACCTTCCATAAAATATGATCGATAACATGAATCTAATCTAATTTACATTAAAACTTCAACCACAACATACAATGATGTTCTTAAAAGAATATTTAAACCAAGAAAATATAAAAAAGAATTAGTATATAACAAACTTAAAAATTTAAAACTTCAACATAATAACATGACTCGAAAAATGGTCCAAACCCCTTAAACCCAAACAAAAAACCTTTAAAGTTGTTTTCTTTGTGAATTTTGTATGTGATTTGTATTTGTGTGTCTACTCAAAGAGATTGACTTTTTTATAGTAGACTATCCATTAATTGTTTATTAAATATATTATATAAGTTATAAAACATTTGAATTGTTAATCATTATTAAGAGACTTTTGAGTGATATTCATTAAAATATGAGGTTTCAACTGCATGAGGTGTTTGCAAATTTTTGTGGAGGTTTCAAATGCATGAGGTTCAAAGAAAATTGCATCCTTTATAAGATACATACAAACATGAATAATATGTATAATATGACATATCCATGATTTTTAATTAATTATTGCCTTGAAGCAACACAAACATACAAACATGTATACAATAGTTAAATAAATATTATATATATCACCTTCCATAAAATATGATCGATAACATGAATCTAATCTAATTTACATTAAAATTTCAACCACAACATACAATGATGTTCTTAAAAGAATACTCAAACCAAGAAAATATAAAAAAAATTAGTATATAACAAACTTAAAAATTAAAAACTTCAACATAATAACATGACTTGAAAAATGGTCCAAAGCCCTTAAACCAACATAAAAACCTTTAAACTTGTTTTCTTTGTGAATTTTATATGTGATTTGTATTTGTGTGTCTACTCAAAGAGATTGACTTTTTTATAGTAGACTATCCATTAATTGTTTATTAAATATATTATATAAGTTATAAAACTTTTGAATTGTTAATCATTATTAAAAGACTTTTGAGTGGTAATATATATATATATATATATATATATATATATATATATATATCATCCCCAAATGATCAATTTTTTTAACGCTTGTCATTCCTCAAATGATCAGTTTTTGAAACCTTATCACCTTTTACAAGAAAACAAAATATTGAAATTATATTAATGTTATATATATATATATATATATATATATATATATATATATATATATATATATATATATATATATATATATATAGGGATGAGAATTTGGTCTGAAAACCCGAACCGAACCGAATTAGGCCCGAATAAGCAATTCGATTCGGTTTTCGGGTATCTATATGAGGCTTATTTAGTTTTTGAGTTATTCGGTCCGGGTTACCCGAATAAGGACTTATTCGGGCCAGAAGGACTGAACCGAATTTGAAAAGTCACAATTTTTATTTTATGTTTCAGCATGTTTGCAAATTTTTAGCCAACTTTGAAGTGCCATAACGTCTTCGTTATTTGTCCGATTAGCCCGATCTTTTTTCCAGCTTGTAGTTCACAATTTAAACTAGAGTTTACACTATTTAAATGCGTTATTTGGTTGTATATTCAGTGAGATACAGACCCCTAAACATGCAGTATTAAAGCTGAGTTTTTTTTGTTTCAGCATGTTTGCAAATTTTTAGCCAACTTTGAAGTGTCATAACGTCTTTGTTATTTGTCTGATTAGCCCGATTTGTTTTCCTACTTGTAGTTCACAATATAAACTATAGTTTACACTATTTAAATGTGTTATTTGGTTGTATATTCAGTGAGATACAATGTAACGCCCCGACTCTCAGGCAATAATTTTATGGCTTTGATTTTCATAAGTTGCAAGGTCTACTCGACGAGTTGGATGCCTAACTCGTTGAGTAGAAGAGGTTTGGGGCCACGTGTTTAAGTGACTTACTCGCCGAGTCCAATATAGGACTCGACGAGTAGGAGCTGGAGGATGAAACCCTAATTCCCGGGGTTTTGCACCCTATTTAAAGGATCATTAGCCTCCTTTAGCCCCCCTTACAGCCTCTTGAGAGTCCAGCAAACCCTAATCCGCGTGTGTGCTCTATTCTTGGGTGTTTTAAGCTTTGGAAGGTGGATCTTAGTGAGAAGAGCTTGGAGAAAAAGTGGCTAGAAGCAAGGAACGTGTGGGGATCTGAAATCTACCTCAGTTAGCATCTTTTGAAGGTATCAAGTCTTTACCTTGACCTCTTTTCCTGCTAGATCTCATTGGTTAAATATTAGGGCTTTTTCAAGCATAATATGAAGCTATTCTTGGGTATGAGCTAAGATCTGAAGTTGTAACTTCAGATCTGAACTCTCTTTGGTCTCTAAGTCCATAAAGCTTTCAGCTCCATTTTAAGCTTGGTTTTGGCATTATAAGTGTAAAGCTCCATTTTAAGTGTAAAGCTCCATTTTAAGTGTAAAGCTCCATTTTAAGCTTGGTTTTGGCATTATAAGACTTTAGAGCCTTGCATGCACGTAAAGTTTGCAACTTTACGTGATAAACATGCCTTGGGAAGCTGGATCTGCAATATGGAACCTTAAAATGGCTTAAAAAGCATCTGAATGGATAATGGACTGAAGGGACTAGGCGAGTTACATGGTCAACTCGACGAGTCCAATGAAGATTGTCGTGCAAGGACTTTTGCATGGACTCGGCGAGTCAGTGGGGTGACTCGGCGAGTCAAATGGGGTTTTCCCGACTTTTGGACATGCATGGAGTCGGCGAGTTGCAGGGAAAACTCGACGAGTCAGTGGGGGGATTTCACGACTATTCGAGTTTTGGAAGGACTCGACGAGTCAGTGACTGCACTCGACGAGTCGGGTCAATATGGACTGTTGACTTTGACTTCTGGGGCATTTTGGGAAATTGGAAATTTACAAGTATGGTTCTATGGTGAATATAGGTGGTGGAGTTTGTGACGGCAGTCCGAGAGTTTGAGCTTATCTTTCGAGTCGACAGTTGCAAGGTGAGTTATCCTCACTATACTCAAGGGTCTAAGGCACCAAGGCCGACCCTTTAATTTGTTATTTGGGATTGTTACTGTTATGATATGTTAGATCGGTATCCTGGTAGATAGGATGGTTATGTGCTGGTATGATCCGTTAGATCGGTATCCTGGTAGATAGGATGGTTATATGTTAGTATGATATGTTAGATCGGTATCCTGGTAGATCGGATGTGGTTATGCTTAGTGACCTATAGTTTGGTCTGACTGTCTGTATGCTGGTAGGAGATTACCTATTATATGTGCACATGATTGATTGGTAGTTGAGGGTATTCCATCCCGAGGATGATAGGACCCTAGCATGTTGTCCGTATAGAATGTTATATGATTATCTGATATAGGTGCACATGTTTGATTGGTTATGTTGGCATTCCAACCCGATGGTTGAGGGCCTGGGGTATTCCAACCTGATGGTTGATTGGACCCATAGTATGTTGGCATTCCAACCCGATGGTTGAGGGCCTGGGGTATTCCATCCCGATGGATGATTGGACCCATAATATCTGTTATATATGTATTATGTGTGGGCATTCCAACCTGATGGTTGTGGGCCGAGAGTATTTCATTCCGAGGATGATTGGACTCGTAGTAATATGGGCGTTCCAACCCGATGGTTGTGGGCCGAGAGTATTCCATCCTGAGGATGATTGGACTCGTAGTATGTGGGCATTCCAACCCCATGGTTGAGGGCCTGGGGTATTCCATCCTGATGGATGATTGGACCCATAGTATGTTGTTTGTTATTATATGTGTATTGTTGTGTGTATGGGTATTTTGGGTGTAACTTACTAAGCCTTCCTCGATTGATGATTTTGATTTCTGGGAACTCTGATGTTTAAACTATTTTGAAAACAAATTGTATTAACTGAATGGTTTAAATGATTTAAAAAATTTTAAATTGACTCAAATTTTATGGATGTTACATACAGGCCTCTAAACATGGGGAATTAAAGCTGAGTTTTTCTGTTTCAGCATGTTTGTAAATTTTTAGCCAACTTTGAAGTGTCATAACGTCTTCGTTATTTGTCCGATTAGCCATATTTTTCTTCCAGCTTGTAGTTCACAAGTCTAAACTACAGTTTACACTATTTAAATGCATTATTTTGTTGTATATGCAATGAGATACAGGCTCCTAAATAAGAGGTATTAAAGTTGTTTTTTTTTACAAAAAAATACTAACATTTACTTTATTATAATAGATCCTACATATGTTCGAGATGTTTTGAGCCCCACAAAAGAATATTTCAACATTTGTAGAGCTATGGTTGGATTTCTCGAGAAATTCAAGGTTAAAACCGACATAGTATCGACGTCAACAAAACCGATGTCACATCGTTTTTTTGGAGAAATATGTGATGTGTACAAACACAAATTCTAACTCTTTTTGCACCTTTGAAACAGTTATATATACTTTGTATTATTTTTAATTAACAAAATTGTTTCTTTAAAAGATTTGTTATGAAATCATAAGCTACAAAAGTCACACAAAATACAATATTTATAATCGCATTGTAAATGTTATATGGGTTATTCGGGTTATACAATCATAATACGGTTTATTCGGTTCTTTTCGGTTATAATAGGTCCTTAATCATCTTGTACATGTTATTTGGGTTATTAGGGCCGGAACCGAACCGAACCGAATAATACCTGAACCGAACCGAACATGTATTGCTTATTTGGTTCGGTTTTCGGTTCATACAATTACCCTTATTCGGTTCTTGTGTTATTCAGGTTCGGGTCGGTTCGGTTCGGTTCCGGCCCGAATAACATCCCTATATATATATATATATATATATATATATATATATATATATATATATATATATATATATATATATATATATATATATATATCAAACAACAAAATAAATAATTAGATGATTCAAAAGAAAGATGATTCACAAGAAATAATTCTCAAAAAAACATCATCATGATTCATTTTTAATTAAATCAAGAAAAAATTCATTTTTATGACAATTTTAGTAAATATTAACAAAATCATCGTAAAAATGAATAATCGAAATATTTTTTTTAAGGAATTTTTTAATGAATCATCTTATTTTTGATTCATTTGTTTTGTTCGCCAAAAAATATACCGAAAAAAAAACTTTTTACCTTCCTATAAAAAAATAATTTCTTGTCGGATATAATATATATATATATATATATATATATATATATATATATATATATATATATATTGCAAAATTTAAAAAAAATCATCCAAAACTTAACTATTTTATAATATGACATCACGTATTTTGATATTTTATCTTTTTTTTAAACGACAAATATCATTAAAAGCACACGCTAGCAAAAAAAACTAGACGAGACAAAAATACAATACAGAAATAAAAGTAAAAGCTATAAGAAAGAGATTAATAGAACCGAAGGATAAATGGCGAAACACTCCAATCGACCCAAGTTCCACAGCCCGAGTTGTTTCTGTATTTACACAACACGTATGATAAGGAGATAATGTTGTCGGCAACTTTTGTCCGGGGCACATCAGTTTTTTTGAAAACTTTGTCTTTTATGACCATTCAAATGTTCCAAATAAAACAATAAAACATCATACTTAGGATCAACTTTTTTCTAGGGTCATTCCCTAATGCATTACGAAATTGATGAAGTCTCTAACCCTATAAAAAACCAACTTTTTTCTAGGGCCATTCCCTAATGCATTACGAAATTGATGAAGTCTCTAACCCTATAAAAAAACTCATGTGTTGAATCCCACACCACCATTTGAGAATCCATTATTGGACAACTTTAGAATACTCACAGTTAATGAGAAGGTGATAAGTTGATTCTATCTTCATATTGCACAATGGGAAAAGAGTGTCAAGAAGGTTAATCCCCTAATTGCCAAAGCATTTGCCACCAGAATTCTACCCGATGACGCCTTCCAAATTAAACATCACACCTTTAGTTACCCCTTCTTGGCATAAACTGTGTAAAAGAAAGGCAAATCAATTTAAAAGGAAAAAAAATAGAGTTGATTTGTTCTGGTTCTATTATTTAATGATTCGATCTCAATATTATTTTTTTTAATTCATCTTCTTCCTCATTTTTGCTTTCCTTTCTTTCCTTTAAATCGCCTCGACCAACAGGGAAATTCCAGTTCATCAGACTTTTCAATAAAATCAAACAGAAAGCCCCAAGGATGTCATCTTACCTATCACCATAACCAATGTTGTTAAAGATCATATGCTACTAGATCCTACTTATATAAATCATTTATGTCATACTCGGATCATTCGGATCATTTCCTGTATGCTCGAATGTATGATCATAAAAATGTCATTTATGTTTTTAAAAATATATATAATATTTTGTCTTGGGCTAACTAATAAATTGAATATAAACTCTAGAAACATTTTTGAATTTTTTATTATTAAATGATCTATGTTTTTTATGTTTGTACCTTTCATGACTTAGAATGCTTTTTGTGAAATCTTATGATGAGAATCTTACAAAACAAAAAATGATCAGATCCTAATCTTGAAAATATTCATCTGAACTATGCTCAATAGAACAAAACCTATTTGAGCGTTGTAACAGCTTACAAACAACTACTAGAACATTAAAATAAGACTCAAAAACATCTATTTTAGATCACGAGAACATTTAAAAAGTAGTCATAGATCTTAAATTGACCATAACCAACATCATTTAATCTCTTGGATAGAAGGAACAGGTTCAAGATTTAAGAAACAAGAAAACACATAGCTCACGTTCTAAGCAATAAACTTAAAGAAACATATCTGGAGACACCCAAATGATGAAAGATCTTTCATTACACTGATCTTGAAAGATCTTTCATTACACTGATCTTGTATAGAATCGGATCCCAACAGCAACACCCAAGATCACCAATGGAACCAAGAACTGAAGAATCTTGATGATGAACTCGGATGTCTTGTCTTGGTTATAATGAGCTTGCTTTGGAGGCTTGTATTCAACCTTGGAGGGAATAGTTGCTGTGTCAATATCACCAACATAGAATTCATCCATCATCGATTTAGCAGTTGTACTATGTCCCACATCTTCAAAATCATCTGTTGCATCCTTACCTATAAAGTTGTTCATAATAAACAAAAAAAAAGTAACATTTGTCATACGTACTTCAAACAAAAAATTGTACTTTACTGTATCAAAAATGCATATAAGCATAATTTGAGGAATATTTAAAAGAAAAAATGGTATTAAATGTGAAATACCTGTGGCTGACAAGAGAACGTCATCCCCACCAGGATGATCTTCCAAGAATTTGGTCACATCAAACACCTGCACATATCACCATATTAAACCATGATTAGGTTAAGGACTTATTAGTTATTACACAAAGAAATATTAAAGAAAAAGATACTTTCATATGGTTGTCTAAAATTATTATTATCATTATTATTTTCTTTTTGCAAATTACCTATATGACATGTTATGACAGTTGGTTAAAAGTTACGAGATACTTTTAAAAGGTATTCGCGCGCTTTAGTAATAATAAACTTGTGGCTGTAGTTTAGTGGTAAGAATTCCACGGTTTGGCCGTGGAGACCTGGGCTCGAATCCCAGCAGCAGCCACACACTTTCACACTTTTTTCACATAAATCAAACAAATTTTAAGGACATTTGAGAACATTCACCAAAGATTACATTTTCTTCATTAACCAACTTCAAATCTTTATATTAGCTTTGTTGTAGTTTAATGTTGTGATATATATTATTTTTAATCAATTCTGTAGTTTACTTTCACTTTTGTTATATGTGTATCTTCTATGTTTATGTACTTTTAGTTATTTAATAAAAAAGTTTATTATAGTAATTATTATTATTATTATACTCAATAATAAGCTCAATTTAAAGGTCAGATCTGTCAGATCGAGATCTATCATATAATGTAACTTTTTGTATAATTAAGTACTTGTGAATTTTTATTGATGGATAAATTTAACAAATTGCATTGCATATGCAAAATCTGATAACAATGTAAATTAAAAATTCAGTAACCATAAGAGTTTAATATACTTTTTTCTTTGATAAATGAAAAGTTTTATGGGGAAAACTATTTGGATTTTGGAGGATGATTTGGAGAGAATTTGGATTTAATAGCGAACCCTAAATTCAACCCTAATGAACTCTGATTCAAATCCACTTAGTTTGACTAGAAAGTCAAAGAATCCTCCATTATCTGGATCAAGAAAACCCCCAAGATTTATAAAAAATTACAGCTAAAAAACTCTAATTACCATAAAAAAAAATATCAATTCCTCGTCAATTAGTTATCAATAATGCACAGCTCTCCATTATATATTTGAACAAGTTAGCATTCAGCTGAATCCACCAACCACGGATAAAAATTTATGTACATAAACTTCACTTAACAGATTTCAAATTAAGACGAGTCAAATAGAGTTCAATTATTCAATAGAGATCCGTAGTAATCACGAGCTACATATCAATCGTAAGTTGAATCGTGAATCATGTTTGGATATACGCACCTTGCCATCGATGATGAGCCAGCAATCTTTGGGGTCGTTGTGCTCCGCAACTTCCTTCAAAGTGTACACTTTGCCCATTATCGATCGCCCAAAAATTACAGAGCTATAGTAGATCTATGGAGCCCCAAATTGCGATCTCTCAATAACCCTTTTAGAGAGGGATTTAAAGAACAAAAATGGAGGTGGGTTGTCAAAGATTGTAGGTGGCTAATTTCTAGTTTGGGGGGGTTGTTGAGGAGATGAAACGAATGGACTGGTATCACAAAATCTAGGTGGGGGTTGGTGAGAGAAGTAAAAGTGGTGCACTAACTTAAAAAATGGAGTTGAAGTGTTGAAGTTGAACGTCTGATTTTTATTTTTTAACCATGGATAGTGTCAGGACGTGCGTATTGCGTAACATGTTTTAACTTTTAAAGAGCCAGTTACAGAAATGCTCCATAATCTTTTCTGAAATATGCACCTCTGATCCACTTTTTTTAATTTGTTGCACGAACAGTACCAGTGGTTTATTTTTTGCACTTTTGGTCCCTTTTTAAGGGAAGGTGTACGTTTCATACCATTATACTATCTAACATTTATCAACTCACTATTCTTAAGGTCTCATCAAGGAACAATGTTTTGTGGTAAGGTCTCATCAAGGAACAATGTTTTGTTGGAGAATCATTATCTTTTTTTCTTAAGCTTTATTGTTTCCGGTATATTTGTAACCAATATTTTTCTACCCTTTTCATTATAATAATACAAATAATCCTTTGTTTTTACAAATACACCATGCACTCTACGAATAGCAAAATATTGAAGAAACACAAGTGAAAATCAGAGGCACCGAAGGATACCACCAATATGAAGATAACTTATTTCGATACGAAGATGGCGGGTGGTATATGATCTCTACCCTTTTACCTTTTTGTTCTTATAAATATATGTGTAATGATTTACTTCCTTATGTGGTTGAGGTGTCCTAATAATAGTAAAAATTGTGCATAACATTTTGCTAAAAGTTATCACAAGGCACTTGATCATCATTTCTTTTATTTCAAACATCGGGTTTCAAAGAGCTTGAGTGCTAAAGGTAAACTATACTTCTCATGGATGATTATTTACTTTCTTTTCATTTACCATGTGTTGATTCCGAATGGATTGTTACTTACTTTCCCTTTTGTTTCATATTGCAGCTTTGTTTTGCATAAATTAAGGAGACAAGTGAAAATAAGTCTATATATGAGCACATACTTTAAGATATTACTCGTGGGAAAAAAGCAAACTAATATTCACATCAAGAATTTAAATGATTCCTTTGTATGGATACATGCGTGAAGATAAGGACTACTTTTGTTTTGGAAGGTAGTATGTTTTCGAAGTGTAGTGTATTCATAAGAAAACAATTGAATGTACAATGTTTTGAAGTTTGATGTATTTGATACGTCAAAAAAACATATAACATCACAAAAATTATTGTTTAAACTTCCACTACAACTCGCGGCTTAAAATCCTCATTATAATGAAGCATGTGTAAGTGAGGTGATGATAACAAACTATATTTGTATCCTCTTTATTTGGTTATTATATTAGGGACTTTAAACAATAACTCCCGAATAATAATGACCATTTGCGTTGGTGCTCCTCTAAGACCGATGGGTACAAGCCTGTTAAGGGGCGTTTTGCCTACGTGGGGCCTCCTTAACGGCGTGGTAACGCAGAAACAACTCCCCCCAGGTGTTATGTTATTCGACGTTGTGAAGATAACAACTTGCAACACGGATTTTTTCATTTTAACGGTTAAAATGACCGTTGTCGAACAGTCAAAATAATTTTTATATATATATATATATATATATATATATATATATATATATATATATATATATATAATATATATATATATATATACTACTTTATAATACATAGATAATACATATTTTAAGACCAAAGTCTTAAAAACAAGGAGATAAATTTTTAGCCTTTGGATTTCATTTGAATGGTTATGATAGTGATCCTTGTGATAACCTTAGAACCAATCACAATGCAACCCATAATTTACAACATTTTCAGCTTAAAATTCTTAAAAATAATACAACTCATATATTGCATAACCTTATCGCGTGCCACCCATCCTCCGTCTCCCCTTTCTATGAATCTTTAATAGCTGTTATCCATTTACTATATGTGGGCGGGCAATTCAATTTTTTTTTGAAAAACCTCGATAGAAGTAATATTTGGTGTCCCTTTGTTACTCCCAACCATCTAAACATACGCTTCCTCTCTTTTCAACACATTTTATCCCTATTATATTTAAACTAATTTTGTTGAAATAATGTTCAAATAGGATCGATAGATTCTAAGTAGACAAAAAATTAAGAACGTAATTATGAACACAAGAATGACTCTGAATGTGTCGTATGATTAATGCTTCAACACCTCAGAAGAGCTCGATTAAGAACTTCGACTGTAGAGGTGTTTAGGGTTACAAGACAATTATAATAATAATCATAAACGTTAACCTTTTAATGCATACATGCATGCATTATTTATAGTCTAACCCTACTAGCTAATCACGGATGGACATGCCCAATCCGGATACAAAACATAAGCCCATGACGCAACACAATTAGACTCAACAATCTCCCCATTTGCGTCAATGGAGCCGAAAGCTCACTTTGGTTGAGCTGCAGAAGACTTCTTTACTGTTTTGAACACCTTCGGTATGATGGCCAATAGATGATGACGAAACGTTATGTACCACCGAAGCATGTCTGTGAAGTTCTTCTTGTCTGCTTCTGAGTTATGCTTGCACCGATGAATAATGTTGATGATGTGCTCCAAGCAGTCTGTTGAAAACAAATGTTTATCAACAAGAGCGAACAAAAATCTGTGTGCTTCGCCTTTTGTAAACATCACAGTAAGATGTGTAGAATCGATTTGGCCCATCTTCATTTTATTCACATCTCCTGGTTTCGGTGTTGGCTTGATAGTTGGTTTCTTGTTCATTACTTTCGCTATCTCCTGATCCATAGCAGCAACCTCATTGATGTAAGAAGCCAACATCCTCTTCAAGTGATCCAGTATTGGCTCATATTCCTTCGGATTGGTGAGCAGAATGTTAAACACTAGGATCCAGTCATGAGGATTTAGATTTGGAAGGTCTGCCAGGGAAATAATCGACACCGAGTTTGCTGATCCTCGTGTGATTTTGAAATTAACGTTTATGAATTCCCAGCAGGTGAAGGTTTGAGCACCTTGACAGTAACTATCTTCTATGCACTCCATGTCAAGTACTGCGGTTGACCATACTTCAGATAGAAGTCTATAAGCTCTCGACCAACTTTTGGATGAGGGAAAGGAACTTCAGCAGTCACATCGAAACAATGAAAGGTGAATGCCTTTCGCATTATTGGCATGTCGAACTGTGAGTCCTTAGAATTGTCACAATCAAATGAAGCAACAGGTTCCAACCAGTAAACACTTGAAAACTCTATAGCTTGATTGATAAGTGTCTCTTTTGTCCATAGGGGAAACAAGGCCTTCTTGCAGTTTAAGGCTTCTTCTTCTTCCTTGTTCCTCCTTTCCCTCTCCTCTGCTTCCTTTGTAGTCCTCAAAGTTTCATCCAACTCTCTGTCCCTCTTCTTTCTTTTGAGAGCCTCAGCAATAGTCTCTTCAACATCATCATCACTATCATCATCAATCTCCTTCTGCTTAGCTTGAGAACCAGAACCTGAATCTTCATTACCCTTCAGTTCGGTTGTAATTTTGACTTTCGGTTGAGCAGATTCGGTTTTGGTTTTAACCTTCGGTTGATGAGCACCTTCTCCCCCTTGTTTTGGAGCAACGAATCTCTCCGAAACACCCTTCATCTCGTGCAACATGGCAAGGGAAGGAAGAAGTTTTGTAGTTAGATGATTCCTGATGGTCAAGGTAAGAATAGGATCATGAGCACCAAGAATGTTGGTCAGCATATCCTTAACATCACCTGCACAGCTTCGAAAAACAGCTCTCTCTGTCTTGAACAAGGAAATTTCTTTTTCAACTTGAGCGAGCTGAACCTTCTGTATTTCAATGGTGGATGCTTGTCGGGCAAGATCTTCCTTCAGAGCACGTTCTGTTGCTAAATCATCGTGAAGAGAGTCCAGCCGAGAAGACACAAAATTGATAAGTGTAGTGTTGTCTGCTTGGATGGAAGAACGAACGGCTTCAAACTTTGTCTGCTCCTCTTGAAGAGACTTGGAAAATGAATCCACAGAAGCTTGCACCTTGGCTGCACTTGTATCAACATGCCCTTTGAGTGACTAGAGAAAGATCTGAGTAGTATGAACAATATCAGCAACATCAGCAGTGGCCTTTTTGCAAGAGGAAGTAGACTCATTAACAGCCTTAGTGGATTTGTCAATGGAGTCAGTGTATTGCTCAAGAGTTGTATCCATGAAAGCTTTGAGGACAACATCACTGTAGGATTTGTTGTTATCAAGTAACTTATCAAGTTTCTCATGAATGCCCTGCAAGTGTTGACGTGTGACTGGAGCATCATCATCCTCATCGGTAGGAAGCCTATAGGGACTATAGTATGTATAATCAAACTCATCATTAGCACCACCGAGAGTGGCACCGGAATCGGTTGAAGGTGAGGGTAAAAGTGGGTGAGAAGTAACTGGAGGTTCTGTTTCAGTAGTCGCCCCCGTATCAGATACGTTGACTCTTACCGTCGGTTCAGGAATGGTAGTGGTAGTTGATTGGGAAATAATAATAGGAATAGAAGTAACTGGTGGTGGTGGTGGTAAAGAAGTTGTTGTTTGAGAAGTGGTAGGTGGGGGAACAGGAGCAACCGAAACTGGAACTGTCTGTTTCGGTGATGGAGATGGTGTTGGAGGTCTGTTATGATGAGTTTCGGTTGGAGTAGGGGATCGGGGAGGGGTGTTACCTCTCGGTGATTCCTGATGTATTTGATCTTCTTCATCCTCCTCACCATGTTCTGAATTGGGAGGAGTGGGACTCTTGGACCTCTTTGCCATCTTCTTAATCTTCTTTTGTTTATGAGAATCCCCTTGCACAGACTTTTGCTTCTTGGACTTCGAAAACTTAGATTGATTTTCCCTTGTTGTCTTCTCTTTCTGGGTGGTAGCCCGTTTCCTTCGGTTCCAGGTTGTCCACAGCATCCAGACAGCCTGCTGTTCTGGAGATAAGACTCTCGGTTCCTTGGGAGGAAGTTTGCGATATTCAGTTTATGAGTTTGCTCTCAGTGGGTGACACATCTGTAAGTGTCTCTGGGATAGAACCAATGTGAGGAAACTTTCTAGGAT